AAGAATCACCTGCCATCACTTGCTGGCATGGGATGCGGCACATTACTCGTCTGTTAGCTTAGCAGAGCTCGGTTGGCTGGATTAGCAAATTAGTGTTGAAGGTGCGCTTGCTGTTCTGTTACGAAAAGAATCTGGCACATGAGCAGAGGCACGTGAGCGGCTTCTGTGAAAGAGCGAAGAGGCAGTAATTAAGGCTCCAGCCGAGTGGGGTCATAAAACAGGGCTTGTTTCATGTCAGTCCTTACGCAGCAGTGTGCTGGCTCCCTGGGACCCATTTACAGCCTCACGCGGTTCCTGTTCTTTACAAACAAGTCTGGGCCCCAACATGTCTTCCCAACCTTTCCTGGGAAACAGGAGGGTTACTGCACACCTAGCATTCCATTTTTTTCTTCCATTCTCAACCAATTTTCTTCAGAAAAATATCGCTCTCCCCACTAATCCCTGGCTGCTTTAAGGAAAAAAAAAAAATCACCCTCAATATGTGTGAGAATACAAAGTCATCGAATACCTGAGCGTAGGAGAAGGTAAATTTTAAGCTTTTAAAAAAGTGAAATTGGATGCAATCAGGAGCAACTTCAAGGCCAACACAGACTTCTGCTCGTCCACCCTCCTGCAGCACCCACAAGGCGATGGGACCAGCCACGGTGTCTGCGCCCAGCAGAGCTGCACCTTATCTCAGGATTATAAACACGGAGGCTCTTGTGCACTTGGCCTGGAAGGCTGCCGTCTGCAGCAGTGGGCCTATGGGAGAAACACATCAAGTGGCTGTGTGGCACTTGGGGGTGAACCAGCAGACAAAGACCTTTTCCTCTGTACCTCCTCCTCCATGAAACTCTTTGCAAACTTTTTATTATTATTTTTTATAAAAGCAGGGAGCTGGAAGGGAAGTGGAGCTGCTGGGATTAGAACCGGCGCCCATGTGGGATCCTGGCATTTTCAACGCGAGGACTCCAGCTGCTAGGCCACTGTGCTGGGCCCTTTTTCTTTTTAAAGGAAATGATTTTTTTAAAGATTTATTTTTATTGTAAGGGCAGATATACAGAAAGGAGGAGAGACATAGAGGAAAATTTTCCATCTGATGATTTACTCCTCAAGTGGCTGCAACGGCCGATGCTGAGCCAATCTGAAGCCAGAAGCCAAGAGCTCTTCCGTGTCTCCCATGCGGGTGCAGGGTCCCAAGACTTTGGGCTGTCCTCAACTACTTTCCCAGGCCACAAACAGGGATCTGGATGGGAATCCGGGCTGCCGGGATTAGAACTGGCGCCCATATGGAATCCTGGCACGTTCAAGGCAAGGACTTTAACTGCTATGCTATCGTGCCGGACCCATAACTCTTTTAATAAAAATCTTTTTTTTTTTTTTAAAGATTTTATTTTTATTATTTTGTTTATTGGAAAGGCGGATATACAGAGAGGAGAGACAGAGAGGAAGATCTTCCATCCGATGATTCACTCCCCAAGTGAGCTCAACGGTCGATGCTATGCCGATCCAAAGCCAGGAGACTCTTCCGGGTCTCCCACGCGGGTGCAGGGTCCCAAAGCTTTGGGCCGTCCTCGGCTGCTTTCCCGGGCCACAGGCAGGGAGCTGGAAGGGAAGCGGGGCTGCTGGGATAGAACCGGCGCCCATATGGGATCCCGGGCGTGCTAGGCGAGGACCTTAACCACTTGCGCCACCGCGCCGGGCCAATAAAAATCTTAAACTTATCACTGTCATCAGTTATTGACCACTCACCATGGGTTATGGGTATTTACTGGGGGAACAAAGGGGTTTGCCATTACACTTACCCTGTCAAGATATATCTGATTGGAGAGTTCCAAGTAGCAATGAGCAGAGAGAAAATACAGACACTTCCATGAGGGAAGTCGCAGTTTGGAAAGGCCTGATTTTCACCTTTTGGAATAAACCTTAAGTATACAGACAGGGAAAGTGAGATGAACCCACGTTCTGAGTGGGGTGACTCAAGCCTGGGAAGAGAAGTGATCACATCAATTTGTTGAGACGCTCCTGTAGAGGTGGCTGGAGGGCCAGGCAACTGCCTTCGTGAGGCCAGAGAACAGGCAGCCAGGAGACTTCTGGGCAGGGGTGTGTGGCTGTGGCCTCCCCTGGTGCCAGGTGGCAATGCGGTCACGGTAAGCAAGGGAGCTTGGGAACCCAGAAGTCTGGCAAAGGGCAGGACCACAGCTTGCAAGGGCACGTGGCCTGTCACAAGCTCATAGGAGGGGGGTTCCAGGGCCAGAACAGAGCTTTCTCCCTCCTGGGAAAGCTCGCCTTGGAGAGGACACGAGTGTCCCCGTGCTGTGAAAATCACTAGGAATGCTTTTGGAACATTGAGCAGCTGACTTGCAGTGGGTTTCCAACCATGCAGACGGGGTGGGGGTCGGGAGCCGGGGAATGCTGTCCTCAGGAGGGGGAACTGTGAACGTGTGTAAAGAGGGAGGGATTAGGGGGAGGCAAACCTCAGGTCAGATGTGCGAGCAGTGGAGTGAGTCTGCCGACTAGGGCTCATGTCCCTGGAGAGATAATCTGTCATACTCCATCATCAAATGCAGTCTTCAGACAGCTGGGTACGCAGCCAAACTCAAACACTTACCTCCCACACCAGCCCCTAGGCATTTTTTAACCTTTGCAAAGCAACCAACTAATCTTCGACACAGAAAGGGCAAAAAATTCAATCTCAGTGACTGAACCGCCAAATTCTGACTCACTGAGACGTCCCCAGTCCAATTTAAGAAACAGCGGACTTGGGCCCGGCGCGGTGGCGCAAGTGGTTAAGGTCCTCACCTTGCACACCCGGGATCCCATGTGGGCGCAGGTTCTAATCCTGGCAGCCCCGCTTCCCTTCCAGCTCCCTGCCCGTGGCCCGGGAAAGCAGTAGAGGGCTTTGGGACCCTGCACCCGCATGGGAGACCCAGAAGAGGCTCCTGGCTTTGGATCGGCATAGCATTGGCCGTTGCGCTCACTTGGGGAGTGAATCATCGGACGGAAGATCTTCCTCTCTGTCTCTCCTCTCTGTATATCTGCCTTTCCAATAAAAAAAAAAAATAATAAAAATAAGTCTTTAAAGAAAAAGAAATAGCAGACTTAGCTGTTCATGAACACTGGGGAGAATGCGCCCAGCACAGTTCCCATTGAGGCTTAACCTCAGGTTAATTCTCAGAGTACTCACGAAGGGGGGTGTAACTGCTCCAACCCCAAACTAATTAACCCTAATTTAACAAATACAAAACAGTGATTCTTGTTTTTTTTTTTTTTTAAAGACAAGGGTTTTGCTTTTCTCCCAGTTTCTCGTGTATTTTTCAGATGGACGTAATAGAAAAAAAAAAATCAAAATGTAGCCCTGAGCCATTTCAAGTAAATGGATATAGAATTGTGGCTTTGGAAAACCAGAGCCAAGAGGCTGTCCTCTGTTCGCTCGTCAGAAGTCTAGAAGGAATGCATATTATTTGGGAAATAGGGCAACTGCTCTGGAGTGGCCCCTGTCGCCAGCAACATTCGTGGTAGTTTCTAGGACAATGCAGCCAGCGTGAATGACTCGAGGTCTGGCTGTTGTATCTTATACTGGTCACTAGATTTTTCTCATTAGCACCAAACCAGGACAAAACTGATGAAATGTCAACTGATTTTGTTACTGATGAGTGTTTTAAGACCCAAGTTTACAGTTAATAGCTAACATAGTTTTGGATATCCCATGGTTATGATTTGTTTGTAAAGTTTGAATTGCCAACATAAAATTAATATTAGACCACAGACCGACTCAGGTGCCATTAAAAAAAAATGAGATTCTGAAAGAAAGCTCTTTCCATCTTTCTACAAAAACTTAAAATGCAGTATGTGTATTTGTAGAATGTACTGGATATAATACAAGCCAACATGTCAATATTTTCCCAAGAACTATAGTTTATATCAGCTGCCAATTCCTGCCTTCCACCCTTTAAATGTGTTGGCACCCTGGGATAATTAGTGAGAACAAGCAAGGTGCACCTTCCCACGTGCAGTTCTTACATCTGTTGTTCTGTTTTAGTGCACTCATTCCCAGAGCCAGTCTGCAGACCACCGCTGTCCAGGTGGCGAAGTCCCTGGCAGAAAGATCCTCAAGATCCCTACAGAGAGAGATGCTGTCACAGAGAGGCCAGCTATGCTACTTTGCTCCTTCTAAACTCCCAAAATTCAGACTTTTTGAAGTCTGAATATCAAGCCAGAAGTACCCCACACTAAACAGGCACACATCGCAGGGCATAGTACACATCCACTTCATAGTGTGTGGCTCCATGTCCCAAGAAAGCACCCTTTCAACAATGGAGTACAATTTCAGCAATCAACAAGAACTACAAGGAAAAGCTGTAACAAATAATGAGAAAAAGCCAAGAGGCCCATTGTCCTGGCTTAGCCGAAACAGAGCTGCTTCCTTTCAAGGGATTAAAAGAGTATATGGAGGGTTCCACTGTGTTAGCTCAGTGGCTAACACAAGTGCTTGGATCCATACGGGTGTCAGTTCGTAAAACAGCTGCTCCACTTCCCATCCAGCTCCCTGCTCGTGGCCTGGGAAAGCAGCAGAGGATGGCCCAAACTCTGGGCCTCTGCATCCATGTGGGACACCCAGAAGAAGCTCCTGGTTCTTGGCTTCAGATCAGCTCAGCTTCGGCTGTTGCGGCCACTTGGAGAATGAACCAGCAGATGCAAGATCTTTCTGTCTCTCATCCTCTCTGAATCTGCGAATCTGCCTTTCCAATAAAACAAAATCTTAAACAAACAAACAAAAAACCAAAGATAAATGCCACTGGGTGCCATGTGTGTTGCAGGAAGATCCCAAGGGATGTTTTCTCAGATTTCAACTGATTATTAAATGTTCAACTGGAGTGAAAATCAGCTCCTATCCCACCAAGTTTAAAAACCAGTCACAAAATACACATTAGAATATAAGTTTTTTAATTTTTATAAATAACTTATCTGTTACAAAGATCGTTTACCCAGCTAAATCACAAAACCATCAACTCAAGATATCCAAGTTACGTTTTATTAATAAAACAAGTAAAAACTGATTTATCAATCTTCACATAGAACTGCAGATGAAGCTGAAAAACAAGGCCTAGTTTTAAAACAAAATGTATCAAATGTAAGGCTCTGGGTCTACCGTCTAATGAACTAGGATTGTCACGGTGCTCTCCACCTGCAGAACGCAAGGCATGACGGTCAAGGCTTTGGCCATCACAGGGGTCTCCGGTAACATTCCTGTTTCCTCAGAACATGGCCAGTGGCAGACACGGACATCGGGTGACGGGCCACATCTTGTAACTTTTGCTCTGCTTCAGCACTTCCCTTAGCCCCATTTTAAGCGCTGATAGGTAATTTCTGAATTCTGTCTCTTTAAATGCATACTGCTACTTCTTTTTCTTGATTTCATTTAGTTATATACACTCCTGATCATCTGAATATTTACTTTCCTTACAAAAATAAATCATCAAAATAAAGAGATGCTTGAGGTTGCGTCAGTGTTCAAGTTTGCTTGTTTTTCTTTTTTTCCAGCTTTTCTTCAGTTTGTCCTAGGTACGATTAGCCTTGTTTGATAAATACACATGATCCTGCCACCGAGTCAGGGTTAGAAACAGACTGCCCCGAACAGAAAGCATCTAGACCTCTCTCCCGACACAGGGAGGGCTGTTGGCGCTGCTGCTGCTGGTTCTGGCACTCCCGCGGAACGGGCTCCTGCGAGGGCTCTGTGGGACGGCTGAACCAATCTGTCAGTGGTCACAAAGCCCTTCTGTCTTCCGCTTCCTTCCGGGGGCACAGAATGCTGCTGCATCACCCACTGCTATGTCCGAATGTGGTGCGGCCTACTGACAGACGCTGGGCGGCGTTCTGGGCCATTCCCTGCACAGCACCTGTGCGTCTTCACAGAGCATACCACCTCTCAGGAGGGCAAAGTACAGAGTAGGCAGAGGAAAGTTACTCTGTGCATAATTTCATTTCATTAATGCTTTTTTTATTTTATGGCACTGCTTCTCTCAGGTAAGGCTTAAAAAGGGACATGATCGTGCTTAATCACTAAAAGGAAAAAAGAAAATTAGTTAACAAAAGGCTATTACACTATACATATAGAAATATAAGAAAATCATCAAGAAGAAGTCACTTAAAGCAGACTTGAGAGATGTGTACAGTAGGACAAGCTGGGGAGATTTCACTGCGTGCTTGCACAGACAACATGCGCTGCTTGCGTCTTCATCCGGAGGCCCTGGACGCTGGCTTCACAGAGGTGGCTTCGGGGAAGACCGAGCCGAGGCCGAGAGCACCACTGACGTGTCAGGTTCTTCCCCTCTCCGTTGGCACTACGTGGCAGCAAAGAGTCTCTAAACAGTTTAACCTTGTTCCTTCTCTTTGTGCATGCGGTGTTTCACTGTGTTACAGAGAACACAAGCCATCGTTCTCTTCCTTTCCTTTGCCAAGATTCAGGGGTGACAGGAGGGAGCTGAGGACGAGGGACACGTGGGCATCTGAGTGTTGGGCATCGTCCAACCAAGCCTTCAGCGGACGACCTTCCGCACGATGACTTTCGTCTGCCCATGACATCACACTGAGGTATCACTGACTCTGTGGGCTGGCTTTTAACATGAGTACAACACAGTCTCGTCACACCTTCAACCTGACAAAATCCTATGGAGCAGTGAAACTTTTCCCCGATGACACGCAAGTTTCTTGAACTTGGATATGGTGTTAGAGAAGATACAGGGCCTCTGGCTCAGAAATGCCTGGGCATCTCACACTGTTCACAGCGGATTAAGGCAGGATGGTTCAGAAAAGTACAGGCAGTGCAATTCCACTGAGCCCCCTCATCATCTTCTGTGTCTTGAGTCTTTGGTGTTTTGACGGTGGACCTTTGATCTGTAAGGAAGCAAAGAAGTTACTGTAGAAACAAAAATCACAAGGCCTGAAAGATTTTCTGGCAGTGTTCACCCTCACAGCATGAAGCAGTCTGTCATGACACAGGCTGCTGGCGGCACCTGCTCCCAGGCCTCCCAGTTACAGAAGGCAATGGGTGTCAGACTGTCGGTCAGGACCGTGAAAGGACTGTCCTACTGCACAGCAACACTGTCGGGGCGTCAAGCCTCACTCAAGTCAAGAGCTTCATTTCCCACGAAGCAGATTGCATTTGTGTTTTCCATCAGGAATGGATGTTTGGTTAAGATGTTTCTGATATGCTGGAAATGCGACACTGAACAACAGAAAGATGGGCTAGGGTCTCATCGAATTTCCCGATTTATCAACAGCAGGCTCTGGAGAAGTAGACCAGTAAAAACATTTTACCTAACTTTATTTCCTGTTTATTTGTTTATTTTAAGTCACGTTTTATTTGCCTGAGGACAGAGTCCTAGGAGTGAAGCGGTGAGAACAGGCTTCTGTTCCAGGCTCCAGCTCGGGCTCCTACGTGACCCACACCCCTTCAGGCCTGATCTTGCTCGCTTGCAGAGATCACTCTATCTCGAAGGAGTCAACGTCCTAGAGTGTTTGGAAGGACAGAGGTATCTTCAATGTACGGAAGAATTATCTTCCTCGACTTGTCTATGACATAAACTTAAGAAACTCTGACATTTAGGAAACCCGTAAGATTTGAATGTCACAAAGATTTAAAACAATATTCCTATAAATTTGGGGGAGTTGTAAAGTAAAAGGAGCAGGCATTACTGGGTGTCTCTATAATCTGAAGATTCAAAGTTATTTTAAAACACTGTATATTAATTTCTACCTACTCTACTGAACTGGTGATTATATATACTACTTTTCTTTTTCAAAAGAGAAATGACAATATCTAGTCGATACAAATACAGGAAGTAAAGTTTTTATACCATAGTTAAAGCAACTGCTGTTTTGGTACTCTGTGCCCCTTGCTAGCAGCACCTCATGTACTGGGTGGCCCTTACAGAAACCTGACACAGTCTCCTGCCTTAGCAACGGGCTTCCTGTTGTCACCATCTCTGTCCTATGCATAGTTACACAGTTATTTCTCCAACTGAATGTTATTACAACAAGCATGTCTCAAGTAAGAATATTTGAATATCAAGGGTCTGACAATACTATACCCCAGCACACACTGCAAGTGTTCAAAAAGTTTGACCTTTTATCATCTAAAATGATTTCACAGCACACCTGGAAAACATTTTATAGAACGACTGTTTTAATCTGGGGATATCTTTTCTTACCACATTTTTGTTCTTAGGCATTAGAAATCATTCCCACCTGGCACATTTTTAGTAAAACTTAGTCTTTTCGTTTAACTGCAAAGGTTAAATTTTAGGAATGGAGACCATGAGGAAGTGCTGTTTAACTCTTCAATCTATGTACTACTAAATGCCAGTGTCCTCTTATTCCTTTTTATCTGTCCATATAGCTACCCATCCATCCATCCATCCATCCATCCATCCATCCATCCATCCATCCATCCATTCATCTGAAGGTAGAAAGACAGAGGGCAATCTTCCATCCCATGGTTCACTCCTGAAGCACCCATTCACAGTCAGGGCTGGGCATGCTGGACCCTGGGGTTAGCTCAGTGGGCATGTCCCACATGGGCATCGGGCTCCCGTGTGCCTGAGACATCGCCGACTGCCTCCCGGGGGGGGGGGAAGGGGGATGTTAAGAGAAAGTGGGAATGGGGAGCACAGCATCCCAGTATGTAACCAGTGAGGCTCAAGGGGCATTTTAATGGCTCCGCCACCTGCCTCTTCCTCATTATTCAAGTGACACAATACTGAAGGCAGTCAGCAAGGACTCTACACACTGCTTTCATCATGAAAAAATCTCCAATAGTATGCTTACATCTGCATGAGCTTTTGGAACTTACAAGCACTTTCACTGTTGGAGTAGCTGGAAACTAAACCCTGAGAACTGGAAAACCGGGGAAGTCAGATTGCAGAGGACATGTGATTTCCACACTTAATTTAACCTGCTAGAAAAATCTCTGTTGTGGAGCAGAACTGATTTCAAGAACTAAACAAACCTCTATACAAGACGAATTAATGACACGTTATTTTAGGACTAGAGCAAAACAAACAAAAAATCCTTCTCTCAGAACAACTAATGTAGAAATTTCTGTTTTGTGGACGAGCTTTTGAGTAACGATTTCCTCCCCTTGTTCTTTTCTGAAATTTTATCGTGGAAAAGCTCACATAAACGAAAGTGAGCGAACAGTAAAACTAGCCCTCATGTGCTCACCCTGCTGGAGTAACTGCCAGGTCACTCTGATTCCATCGACACTTCACCCTCAAAGGCCTAAGCAACAAATCATGTGGAAACAAAGCGCGACTGCTTGCAAAAATCAAGTCATTTTTGAAAGAGAGCTAACAATAAGACAGCAAAATAGTGTATTAAAGAAAGTCACTGCTTATTCCATACATAATTTTTTCATAAAATGCATTTTTAAAAACTTTGTTGAAGACCTTCCTATGCATGGATTTCAAATTTTTTTTGTACCAAAAATAACTTCTAACTTCATTTTCTGTGAAAGTATTCTTATAGGTTTAATATACTTGTTCTTTCTTTATAGCATTTCTTTTTAAGATTTATTTTTTATTTATTTTAAAGGGAGAGTTATAGAAAGGGAGCGAGAGAGCGAATCTACCATCTGCTGGCTCACACCCAAATGGCCTCAGCAGCTTGGTGTGCCACACTGATGCCAGGAGCTTCCTCGGGGTCTCCCTTGCAGGAACAGGAGCCCACAGATCCAGGTGTATTAGCAGGAAGCTGGATCAAAAGTGGAGCATCTGGGTCTTGAGCTGGAGCCCATATGGATGCTTGTGCAACACGTGGTAGCCTAAACCACTATGCTCTTATCCGGTCCCTTGGTCTTTCTTGTTGTCATTTCTTTCTCCCTCCCAGACAGGTCTGCAGGGAGCAGAATGAGCAGTACAGAGTAGACAGACTTGAACTGACATTCTGATATGACTGTGGCTGCCTCAAGCGCTACTTACACCTGCTGTGCCACAACGTCCATCTTTCTTTCTTATCTAAGGGTTTGCTTGTTTTACTTACACTTTCAAAAATCAACTTTATCCTTCCTTCTGCTAACTTGGGCTTTGTGTCAAGTATTTCTTTGTTTTATTTTCAAAAAGATTTATTTTTATTTGAAAGGCAGATTTACAGAGGAGGGGGAAGAGAGGGGGAAAGTGGGAGGAAGGGAGGGAGAGAGAGAGACAGAGAGAGAGAGACTGAGTTTCCATTCATTGGTTCAATTCCCCAACGGCCGCAACTACCAAATCTGAAGCCAGGAGCCTTGATCCTCTTCCAGGTCCCCCATGGGGGTGGCACGGCTCAAACTGGCACCCAGGATGCCAGCAGCAAGGCAGAGGTTTAACCTACTACACTGTGGTGCCAGCCTCAGAGATATTTAAAATTCCTCATTCACCTCTTGAAACATTCAATGGTTATTCAAGACTGTGTTTAGTTTTCATTAATCTTCTAATTTTCTCACCATTAACGATTTCTAGTTTCAACCCACTGTGATGAGAAAATATATTTGGATGGTCTTCATCTTTTTAAATTTGTTAAAACGTAGCTTGTGGGCTGATGTGGCCACAGCTGGACAGGCAAGTGCATTTTGCTCTTGGGGAGATTGGTGTGTGTGTGTGAATGTGATAGAGAGATCGATAGGGCTGTGCAAGTGTGCTGTTTATTTACTGCTTTCTCGCTTGATTATCTCTTACTGTAAATGGGATGCTGAAGCTTCCTACAATCACTGGAGTGCGAGCAACTTCTGTCTACAGATCTGTTAATATTTGTTTTTTGTATGCTCTAATTTTGGGTAGTGTTATAATTGTTATGTTTTCTTGTTGATCTTGTCTCTAGAGATAACTTTAAAGTAAAAAAAAACCCTATTTTTGCATGTTATAAATTTAGCCACACATGATTTCTTTTGGCTACCATTTGCATGAGCTATGTCTTCAGGCTTGAGATTTGCATGTCTTCAACTGCATGCAAAAATACTATACTTTTGAGCCTGGCACAATGGCTCAGTTGGCTAATCCTTCCCTTGTAGCAGTCGGGATCCCACACAGATGCCAGTTCTGTGTCCTGGTTATTCCACTTCCGATCCAGCTCTCTGCTGTGGCCTGGGAAAGCAGTGGAGGACGGCCCAAAGCCCTGCATCCACAGGAGAGACCTAGAGGAAGCTCTTGGCTCCTGGTTTCAGATCAGTTCAGCTTCCAGCTTTTACAGACATTTGGGCAGTGAACTAGTGGATGGAAGATCTTTCTCACTGTGTTTCCTCTCTGTCAATCTGTCTTTCCAATCAAAAGAATAAATCTTAAAAAACACCAAAACCATCAATGATGTAATAATTTTTGAAATCATTCATTAGGAATTCACAAAGTTTTGATTAGAATTATGCACACATTAAAAAAATAGCACATGAGAATTAAGCTTTTTAAGGTGTCTTCCTTATCAATTATTTGAAATGTAAAAATTAAAAAAAAAATACTAAGTTTATTTCTGTGATGATTTTCTTCTTTCTTTAAACCAAGAATTCTATTTTGGAAGCACACAGTGATTCCAAAGACCATAGTCTTAAAACAATTAAACACACCCGATCTTTGTGTCACCCCCAATCCCAGCATCTAAGAAAAGAAACATTTATGTAATGAATTCATTCAAGAACGTGGAAGTCTGAAGCATTTCTAAAGGGGAAGGTTGCTAAAGACAATTTTTTAAGATCTTGTTTCCCACAGCATTTAATCGATGCACTAACCTTTGGGTTTTGGTGGCACAGGACCTACAAATCCAATATTGTCATAAAAGTTATGAATAGCGCTGGGATTAAAATGTGGTCCTGAAATATACAAAAAGTAAATTATGTTTACAGCTCAAAGATACTTTTTATTTTTAAAGCAAGTATTCTTTTCTTAAAAAGATTATTGTATAAACAGAAGAAATGCTTTACATTGATTGTGTACCTCTAATCTCAAACCAATTAAAAACTTTTTAAACATAGTTAAAATGCATTAAACTTCATAAACAAGAGGCAAATTAATGCAGGTAGAACATCAAAAGAATCAGAACTAGATGCCTGTTTTACATTTGGCAAGTTAAAATCCCTTAACATTGAACAACTCCTGGCTGAAACTGGCAGACACGGAGGGCAGCGACTCCATGGCCTGGCCCCACCAAGAGTAGGGCCTCCCAGAGACAAATTCAAGGATTGTAGTTCCCACGCTGGTGTTTTTATTTCTTTTTCTCTCCAAAGTTTAATCACGGCATTTTCTGTGGAGCATCTCCAGAGAGCCGCTTCCCAGTATTTACACAGTTGCCAGAACTCCTCACACTTGGAATCTGCAGACCCTCCAAGGTAGGACGAGGCTTCCCTGTGGCTGGCTCTCTCCCGCTCCTGTCTTTTCTACTCATATACATCTCCTCAGCCCAGAATTTAAAGGATAAAATTTCCTTGTGGTTCTCTCCAAGGCTGAACCAATTGCAAACACTTTTATCACAATATGAAATTTATAAAGATATGATGGTCCTAAGAATGTACAAACCATATTTGAACTTTCTTCTCTATTGTATACATTAAGAATCATTGAGTGGCATATTAATTTATGCCTATATTTGAATCATGTTCAAAAATTCTAATTCTTGAAAGGCAAAGGTAAAAAGGAAATCAGAAAAGTTATAGGAATACGTACATCTTACTTTTAATAAAGTCTATAGTACTGTCTACATCCATAAAGGCAATACTTCCGATATTGTGGTCATACATCCTAATCAACATCATCCCTTAACACGTGACAGAAGTGAACTGAAAGGATGTAAACTATATTAAGTTACTCCTTAATCAAATACCCCATTCTTGAGGGGTTGGTGATGGGAAAGAGTAATAACAACCCAAAGTTCCTCAATACTATCTGGCTCCAAACCAAGTGTTCTGAACTAGTCAAGTTAGGACTGAGCAGTCTGTTTTCAGCCACAGGAGAGGAGTTGATAGATTAGCTGAGTACGCACTGAACGTTACCTCGGGCTTGAAAAAGATCAATTTCTTTGGTTAAGCAGTCAATGTCAATCTGGAGTTGTCTATTACAACTTCTCAACTGCTGCATTTCTTCGAGCTGAAAAATAATGCCATGTAAGAGAGATTTGCATTGAATTCTCATGTTACTAGTTAAGAAACAGTGGAGTTTGGCAGGGCAAAATCAGGTCAGAAAAACAAGTGTGAATTCATAGCATTTGCAGACACCCTGATCAGGTCTCGGCACCTGGGGCAGGCAGCCTGCTCACGTGCGAGCAATGATCACGCCACTTACGCACAGACTCACCGAGGGGATCTGCGACATGGAATTTGATCTTTTCAGGCGCCTTCGTGTTAGATTATTTTCCATTTCATTGACCTCAGACTTTAGTTTATCCAGCTTTTTCTTTTGAATCTCAAGTTCTCTTTGAAGCCGTTCCATTCTGGCTTTCTGGTGTACCAAAAGAGCTGCAAACACAGATTAGTAAATATGAGGGCACAGTCACTTTGGTCAATTAACCTTTAGGCAGGCTTAGGAAGACAAAAGAACACTTTTGTGACAAATAATGTGCCATGAATCCTGATGCTACATTAAAATAAAGAATCTGGATCTAACATTTAAAATTTCAAAAATTTAACTTAAAAACATTGCTTCAGTTACATAAGAAGATGTTACTTTAATTTTGGGAGGCATGTGTTGTGGATAAACCCAGTTATGGGTGAAGACAACATGTTTGGCTTGTTCCTCTATCGATTCTAGTCAATTAATGCCTTCATGGCTATCTAATTCATTTCTGGCTTGTGGAAAGGATATGCTCTTTTATTTCAGCGTCTGATATGTGTGCTCTATGTGCGAGGTACTCTAATGTGGACAGCTTAGAGACTTTTTAAGGTGTGTGTGGACTAAGTGAATCTACCCTGATGTATTTAACGGATAAGACAAGTAGACTGAAATCAGTCCCCATGAATGTTAAATTAGAAGGTAAAAATGGCAGCATTTCGAGAAACCACTTTCATATTCTTACAACCAGATCACATATTTTGTAAATACATTTCCAAGATGCAACGACCTCTCTAAGAAACTTTATTAATCTATAAAAATTACTGTATGCTTTTGTGAGCCTCATAGTTTGGGTAGCTGGACTGGAAGGGAAGATGTTTGCATTCGTGTGTTATAGACAGCTTCGAAAAAAATGGCAGATTTGGAAGGGCACCTTACCTTTAAGAAACAACAACAACAAAAACCATTAAAAAGAAAAACAGATTAGATACAAGCAACGACACTGCTGGTGACCTGCAATGGAGACACAACTATAGGCCCGTGGCCTTGTTAACAGCCTGAACAATTCCAAGGGCCTGGCATTTTTACTGTATGTTTTCCATGTTGAGATACACAAATAACACTGTGCTATAATTGCCTATTGGCTGTGCTGTAACAGTCCATGTGGGTAGCAGACCTTGTCACCTGGGGTTGTGTAACTATGTCTACTTTGTTGACACAACAAAACTGCCTAGTGCTGTTCTCAGAAGTGTCCCTGTTGTAGAATGATGTGACTTTGTATCTAAAAAGGATTCTAAGAGGATGTAACAGAACATAAAGAGGTAAGATTTCGAGATAATGCCCAGTAATGGTCCAAAGCTGAAAAAAAGGAAAAATTCTAGAGAATGAAGGACTAATTTGTTCACTCAACTAAATTATCAAAGCACTGGTGAGGAGAGGCATTTTGAGACACAGTGTAGCAAGATTCATCAACTGCAAATAGCTGCTGAAATATCTGCTGAAGGTATGTTTTTCTAAGAAGGAAATGAAATAGAAAGATGAGTAAACCTAAAAAATAAAAACTCTAAATGAAATAGAAAGATGAGCTAATCTAGAAAAATTAAAACTTTGACTGTAAATCAAAGGAGACAGAGAGGCACAGAGACTGTCCAGGTAACATGAAACTAAAATATTAGAAAGGAATAAAAAATTAAAAAGCTAAATAGAACGAACATTTTTCTAAATTAAGAACAACAACAAAAAAACCCTGAAGATGTTTGATTACATCAAGTTGGTAAAAAGGAGGAATAAAGGAAAGAGAGACAAAAAACTGACAGGAATAATTCTAAATGTACTGATTATCATAATAAATGCAACCTATTGAAAAATATAGTTGATATACAAGCGACCGGTAGAGTAGATTTTAAACATTCAGCTATGGGCTATTTACAAGAAAAAATACTCAAAATACAATTTACTCATCTGTTCTATTAAGTTCAGACCTTACTATACGTCACGTGCTCTTGTAGGCACTTGGGAAATCAATGAGCCGAATGAGCCGAACAGTCAAGAATCCCTATCTACAAAGGTAGGACAGAAAGAGGCAAAGGAAGACGGCATGAACAAAACCAATAAAGGATGCCAATCCTAGGGTCCATGAGACAAATTCAGCCTGCCGTCCATTTTGCGAACAAAACTGACAACTACAGTCTTGTTCATTTGCTTTCTTGTCACCTGTGGGTTCTTTCATGCTACAACAGCAAATACCGAACAGGTGCAAGACAAACCAAGTGATCTGCAAAACCAAGGCCATGAACCCCCAAACCCAGCTCTGACTAGAGCTCTTACACTAACATTTGACAGAAAAAGACACGCCCCCATTTCTGGTGAAAATACCACTTCAGTTCCTTGTGTTCCTTCACAATGTCTGGGATTCATCGAAAAATTATGACATGCAGAGAAGCAAGAGAAAACCTAACTCACCCCATCATCAAGAGCTAAAGCAACCAAAAGAACAACACTCAATGACTCAGATGCTGGAACTTACAGGGAATTTCAAAGTAACTAGGATTAATATGTTAAATTACAGGTCATGGTCCAGCATTGTAGCATAGCACGATGAGCTGCTGCCGCGGACAGTGGTATCCTGTATGAGTACTAGTTCACGTCCTGGAAGCTCCACTTCTAATCTAGCTCTCAGTTAACGTGCCTTGGAAAACAGCCCAAGATGGCCAAGAGAAGGGCTTGCACCCACATGAGAATCCTGGAAGAAGCTCCTGGGGCCTGACTTTGGCCTGAACCAGCCCTGGCTATCGCTGCCATTTGGAGAATAAACCAGCAAATGGGAGATTTGTCTTTCTGCCTCTCCTCTCTGTACCACTTTGACTCTAAAATAAATCAATAAATGAATCTTTAAATATTTCTTATTTTGTAGAAGAAAAAGAGATGAGAGCGTGAAAGACAAAAATTTCTCAAATTGAACATGAAGGGGAAATATTGGAAAGAAACAAAGTACTCAAGATTTATGGGACCATCAACAAGTGGTACATATGTTTCTGGCAAAGGAAGAGAGACAAGGAAAAAGACCTATGAAATGAGGGCCAAAAAGTTACCAAAATTAATATACAACTTACAGATCCAAGCAGCCCAGAGATCCTCAACTACATTAAAGCAAAACAAAATACCCACATATGTCATAGTTAAGTGGTTGAAAACCAAAGAGAAAAAAAGCTAAGAGGCAGTCATATAAAATGTAACACTGATATTCCAGACAAATATAAATCCAATATATTAATTTCAGAAAAGTATCACTTCTGACAAAGCATGTGAGATAAAAAGTTCTTCACTCCAAGACAAAGGGAAATAGACTAGGAACACTATTCTTTTTAAGATTTATTTAATTTTTTTTTTTTTTGGAAAGTCAGATATACAAAGAAGAAGATATTCCATATGATGATTCACTCCCCAAGTGGCCACAAAGCTGGAGTTGTGCTGATTTGAAACCAGGAGCCCGAAACCTCTTCTGGGTCTCCCATGTGGGTGCAATGTTTGAAGGCTATGGGCCATCCTCAAATGCTTTCCCAGGCCACAAGCAGGGAGCTGGAAGGGAAGCAGGGCTGCAGGATTAGAACCAGCGCCCATATGGGATTCTGGTGTGTGCAAAGCGAGGACTTTAGCCACTAGGCTACTGTGCCAGGCCCGGAATACCATTCTTTTTTAGAGATTTATCTATTTCATTTGAATGTCAGAGTTACAGAGACAGAGAGATCCGACATCTGCTGGTTCACTTAACAAACAGCTGCAACAGCCAAAGCTGGACAGGTCTGAAGCTGGGAGCCAGGAGCTTCTTCTGAGTCTCTCATATGGATGCAGAGGCCCAAGCACTTGAGCCATCCTCTGCTGCCTTCCCAGGCCATAAGCAGGGAGCTGGGTGGGAAGTGGGACAGCCAGGACTAGAACTGGAACGCATTTGGGATGCCACACCACATGCGGACAATCAGCTTGATATGCCACCGTGCTGGCTCCTAGGACAACACTCTTATTCTACATGGAAAGTCATAAAGAAATATTCAAATTTATTTTCCAATGAATCCATCATAACACATTCCAGGACAGAGGCAGGCTGTTCTCCCAGATACAGACAGCTCTACCAGAAAGCCCCAATTAAATATGCCTTTGCTCTTCCAGCAAACTAGGAAAGTAAACCATGGAGTTGAGAGCAACACAGAAGGTCAACATGGAGAGAGATGGCCTTTTGACATCCTGACATCCGGTAGAACTTTGATCCAAAGATTCACGAGAACTGAAGGAACACAGTTGGTAAAGACAGGTGCAGGATGTTTCTGAAGTTGATAAAATACCACATCCCTGAAAATTCACCAAGAAAGGAGTTGCTGCAGTGGCTGAAGGTGTGGCCTGCCTCTAGCAATAAAGGTGAGCTTCGAACTATGGACTCAGGCTCTGCAGCTGAACACTGCAAATCTACTGTCCTGTTAGTTACTTAGGAGGTATTCCTGTCCAGTGTAAGCAAACATGTAAAACAGAATTTTAATAACTACATTATTGACAAATGACACACCCAGTGGACACTGTCCTCAGGATTACTTAAGCATGCCTCTTAACTGTAAATAGGATGTGAATATAGTAAGAAATATTGCTTCTTCATAGCAATGCTTCCTTCTACGTAACAGGATTGGTAAATCTAGGTCACTTTGGGGGTTTTGCATAGGAATGGAGAAAGATGAACTACAGAGCAAAATGGGATCTAGGTGCATTTCTTAAGTCACTAGGAAAGTTCAGCTGTGTCTAAATTCTCAGCAATTTTAACCCTCACATTGTGTAAAATATAACCCACATTACCTAATACTTGTCCATTACGAAACAATGTTATCTGACACATCCTGAAGCAGGATAATTAGGGTAAAGACACTTTTGCTCTAATTACTTTTTACTAAGTGAAAAAAGGTTCTGTATTGGCTAGGGGGAGAAAACATGGCAATTATACTTTTAGGTTCAAAAGAGGGGGTGGACTGAAAGGTTTTCACAAGATGAGTGTGTGGTAAAGCTAAACTTTCACCTCTATTATGGAAAATGTGAACAGAGATGAGAACATCGCTTCTGTTGGCTTTTTAGTTGTTATTCTTTCGACTTGCAAGGAAACTGTTACATGTGAAATGCCAACCACAAATGCAAGTTTAAAAGTTCACGG